CGAGCATGAGGAGAAGGAGATCGGCGTCGAAGAATGCCGCTGCATCTTCCCCGACTGCGGCGACGACGACCATGAAGAGGAGGAGATCGACGTCGAAGAATGGATGCATCTTCCCCGACTGCGGCGACGACGACACAAGGCCAGACCCCAAGATCGGGTATGACGCAGGCCAAATGGATAGCACTCTATAACAGTGATTAGAGTTTATGTTTAGGTTGAGTTTAACCCTAAGTTTCATTTAAATAGAATCTATGTTGAACTTTATGCAAGTTTCAGTCGAATATATGTACATTATATCAAATTTTGGTTATTTAAATCGAATATATCTTGAACTTTATGCAAATTTGGTTTTTACTCCGTTATACAGGGGGGATTAGATAAGTCCAGCCAAAACTTAGTGTAGTAAATATACTCCACTAAAGATTTACTCTACCGGATCCTTCACTATTTTGAGGTTGATCGATTAGAACTGCTCTAACCAAGTCTGTACTTTTGAGCTCTTTCTTTGGATGCCTTAGGTGCCCCAAAACAAATGAAGCCACAAGGAGAACCTATTCGCTTTTGTAACCCAATCTGATTTCTCGTGCATCGGGCTTGCTATGAGCACGCACCTTTGTCCCTACAAGCTGATTAATTAGCTTACCAAGGACGGCCATCTTTATTTTAAGAAACAATTCATAAAGGACCCCAATAAATTCTGGACGTTTGGACTTTAAGCATGTCATCCTAAATATTTTTTTGATGGCAATTTTACTTGATGCAGGTGGCAATTTTAGTTATTAACACATGGCAACTTTGTTCCAATTCGTTTTTTATCAAAAAATTGCCATGTTTGCCAACCTCGCCTGAACTAAAGTTGCCATGCAAAATATTCGGGTTGTCATGCTTAAAATCCGAACGTTCAGGGTTAATCAGTTTCGTTCATAAAATACTCGACCGTTCGACACCGTATGTTGCACGAGGATAACCTTTGGTAGGGGAGAAAGCCATAGTCTCAAACAAATTAATAAATCGGTGCCATAAGAAGACGTTAAGTTCCTATCAGCTATCTTCTACCTCGTCCAGGAGTCAAACGTTGGCCAGCTTCAAATTATACTACAAGCTCCCGTACGAACCTTTCGTACGACGATATAGCTATATAACAAAGAAACTATTAATGATGTGAATAATCGCGAGTGGACTTTTTCGATAAAGAGTATATATTAATATCGCAAAGATACCAATTACATCCAGCCTCTGCAACAACGCAATGCCCCCAATGACAATGACAGATGCAGCCAAAAAAAAAGAAGAAACTAAAAAAGAAAGGCTGCGTGCGAGTGTGAGAGAGAGGTTCGTCTAGGGTTTGTCCCAACATTGGCGGCTGACAAACTCTACCTGGTGCTCGCCAACGAGCTGGTTAACTTTGCGGAGGCGGAGCCGCCTGACATATGGCGCCGTGCGACGCTAAAGGAAATGGGCTCGTTCGAGGAGAACGCGACATGGTAACCTCCCTACAAGACATTGGAAGGCATGTGGGCGCAGATTTTGCGCAATAAGTATTTGCAGTCGAAAACTCTCGCCCAGGTTACCATAAGACCAACTGACTCGCCATTCTGGAAGGGGCTTATGAGAACAAAGGACTTGTTCTTTCGCATGGTCAAATTCTTGATTGGCAATGGAATGCCAACAAGATTTTGGGAGGATACGTGGTTAGGAGACACCCCTGGCCGTACAATACCCCACCACTAGTAGAAAACAGGGCTTTCATTCGGGCCTGGCCAACCCATTAGTCCCGGTTCAGTCACGAACCGGGACCCATGGGGGAATTCGTCCCGGTTCTTGAGCTCGGGGGGCCGGCTGGGGCCTCGTGGGCATTGGTCCCGGTTCGTATGGACCCATTTGTCCCGGTTCCAGGCACGAACCGGGACCAATGGT